CATGACCCCTGAGCTGGTTTGTCAAGAGCTTGACAAAATATATTTGCATATTTTGTCAAGCTCTTGACTTGACCATGACTATATGACCTCTCTTGGCGCCAAAGCTGGATCCGCCCTTAATGGAAAATCCAGTAATTCCCGGCCGGTCCCCTCTACTGAATGACTGTACTGACTAAATGTCTACCACACATAATGCGCGGTTCACAATTGGCTAATACAGTTAGATAGCAACGGCCAGTAAATTATATGACTGATGCCAGTTATCGTTCACACTGTGCCAGTTCATTACAATCCAATTATTAAGCGTTACTCACCAACTGTTCTGGGTAAATGTGAACCGCATAATAAACCAATAATTGAAAAAAATAATAAACCAATAATTCAAAAATCACCACATAATTGAAAAAGTGTTTTTGTCTGATTTTTGCCAGGTATGGCAACACAACCATCGCGAAGCTGATGTAGAGAAGTCGTTGAGAGCGTCTCTAAAGCGTCTCGATATGGACTACGTTGATCTCGTACTTATACACTGGCCTATGTCCATATCTGTAAGTATAGTAATAATGCGGAAATTATTTATTTTAGGCAACGGCGGATCCAGAGAGAAGGGTCATGGGGGCCATGTCCCGCCCTGAGCTGGTTGGTCAAGAGTCTCTTGACTTGACCACGACTATGTGACCCCCCTGGCGCCAAAGCTGGATCCGCCCTTGATTTTAGGTTTGATTGGTAAATGATCGGCATGTAAAAGGTTAACTTTGGACTTATTTGTTGTTAATTTGTTTGTCTAATGGCCGGTTTCCCAACTACTTTTAACTATTCGATAGTGCTACTAAATAAATTGACAAAATTATGTTCTGAGCTACATATTTTGAGTTTTACTCCATTGAAACTTAGTTCAACCAAACGGTAATGAAAAATTAAAGGAAACTTCAGAAACCCAACTTATCAACTTTTCGTACAGTACCTAAAAATATTTCAATATGTAAAGTTTTAAATAAGGCCACGCTTAAAAACCAAATTAAATCTATACTATACTAACATTATAAAAAAGAAAGATTTGTATTTTTGTATGTATTCAAATAACTCAAAAACTACTGGGCCAATTTTAAAAATTCTTTCACCGTCAGAAAGGTAATTTATCTGTGAGTAACATAGGCTATATTTTATATTTTCACGCGGCCGAAGTCGCGAGCAACAGCTAGTTAGAAATATAACATATATCGTATGCGTTACCTTCAGAGTATTCTTTATTATTTAGTCGTAAAACGCTATTTCTAGCATATTAGATTGTTTTCAGTCAGATGGTGTTGACGAGAAGATAGATTACTTGAAGACGTACCGCGGGCTGGAGGCGGCGCTGCGGGCGGGCCTCACGCGCGCCATCGGCGTCTCCAACTTCAATTTGCAACAGATGAGCCGTTTACTCGATAACTGCAATGTTATTCCTGCTACTAACCAAATTGAGGTTACTTTGTAGTTTTAACATATTATACTTCTTACTAATATTATAAATGCGAAAGTTTAGATGGATGTTTGTTAAAGTTTGTATCCTAAACTGCTGAATGGATCTCAATGAAATTTGGTATAGATGCAGTGGATATTTTGGATACATAGACTACTGACTTTTTTTTTTAATTCAACGCGTACAAGTCGCGGGCGAAAGCTAGTTAATAATAGAGCAATATGTTCTTAGTTAATTATTCCGAGTTCGCTCT